ACTTTACAGACCCTAACTTTGGTTCCATTACCGAGTGGACAACAGGGTAGATAGGAGCTCCTCAAATTTACGTGGAGCACGATAACACAATCAGCAAGCGGCGAGACAAATCTGACAAACGCTGCCTATGGCTGCAGATGTCAGATGGTCGGGGGATAACAGCTCGCAACATTACCCTTAAAATACTGGTTGGATTTAGCGGTAGCGGGTACCCATCTAGGCAAGCTTAAGGCATGATCCTCTGCCAGAAAGCCTCGATAATGGGGCTTTCCTCAATCGGACCACAGATGGTTCCTCGCCACGACTCCATTCCACCATCAGCCCCGCTCCCAATAATAGTTTCCATTTTGGGCTATTAAGAAGCCATTCCTAATTCTTCTGCTTTGAAGCCAAATGGGCGCTTGATTCGCATCACGAAGATAACAAATTTCTCCTTTACGATCACTTATTGAACTCCATCAATCCCTCGCTAGGACCGGGCAGCGCATCCCGACAAAGTGCGAGATGTTCTTCGGTACACCTAAAAGAAAAGAAAATGGCGGGCCACCTCTCTTCCATAGTATCCTGGGAACGATACAGTCGGACCTCATCGAAAACACACCTCCCAGAATGCAACGCTACGACAACATGGCCGCCATCGTGGGCCTGTTTTTACATGAATGATCTAGAATATATTCATATCAACGAGACATATCAACGCACAAATATATATTTGAGGCTGTCCCCATGTGACTAATTGTATTTTTGTCGCATATGCTCTTTATGGAAACCCAGTGGTGCGCATCAGCACTTTCTAATTGACCTTGAAAGAGCTAGCTTGAGTTGTCATTGCATTAAAGTCGTCCCGAAAGGTCAACCATAATGGGATTTGCAGACGGTGTACGTTCTTAATGTTCCCAGGGGGAAAATGTAACAAAACGACACAACAGTGTTGGGGGCTGATTAGATTGTATGTGAACAGAAGGCGGCGATTCGACTCTTTACTCCCGAGTCGGGCGTTAAGAGTGAACTAATAGATTTCCTAGAACGACGAATACTGGAATGCCACAAAGGAGTTTTTCTACCCACTTTTCTCCTTGCCAAGGCGACGACAAGATTTGGGACAATTGTTTGTTTTCTTGTTGGGATATGTCGCACTTGTATAAAAACAGAATAATTAAATAAAATAAATCACTAGTGCATGCATAAAAGGATTACAAAAAATAACAATAGCAAAGGAAATGGTAAAATTACAGAGTTAAAGAAAGAAAGTAAGAAATATTCTACAATCGGATTCAGCGAAAAAGGAGAAGGCCGAATTTGGCTGGGGAATTCTGGCTTGGTGAACTCACTAAGGCAACCGAAGTGTCGTACATACAAGGGGACACAGCGGGTACTAATGCCTCAATGATGGCTACGTATATTAACACCACATTGGAAACCGTAACCTTTCAGACGAGTTTTTTTACGTGTCGCTTGGCTCTTTCACTGACGAGGCATGGAACTGGCAGCACTATCAAAAGTAAAGCAGTGAATAAGACAGAACATGGAGTGCTTTGTTAGTGTATTCAGAACTTGATACTGTTGTGGAATTGTCGTTTAGAGGCATCCAATGCAATTTTGGAGCAACAAAACTGGATTTTCAAAATAATTTTTTGTCCATTCTTTACTGTCCTAAGTGGAATCAACTCTATCCCATAGCAAACTGATATCTTTGAGGCAAAAATGTCCCTGACGAAAAACGGTTGCTTGTTTCGTATCGTGGGCAGGTTCTAGCTATTTATGGGCGTTGCCCAAAAATGAAATGACTCCTCATGTATCTTGTTTTTGGGGCAATTTCAAACGCTCCAAATATGACGTGATGACGAAAATGTGCTAAGAATGGCAGTATTTGTCAATATCAGACAGATTTTCTCACTCAGACTTTCTTTTTTCGTTTTGCCACCCGGAAATTGCATTGGATGCCTTTGCCTGAGTGCACATTTGACTTGACAGTGAGGATTCAGATAAAGATACTTGAACAAACAATTTTTGACTACAGTACTCCCGGTAGATGAACGTTCTGCCTCGTAGATAGATACGTTGTAACGTTATCTCTTCAGAATTCATCAACTTAAAGGTATGGGTGTCATCAACGTTCAGATGTGCACCACAAGCATAGTAACGCACTGATGTATGTATGTATATATATATGCTTCATAGAAAATGTTCTTTGTCGGTATTGTGTCCTAGTGTATGGCAAATAACAATCATCGGCACAAGGAAAATACAAACCTTCATCAACACCTGCCTTAGGAAAATCCTAAGAATCCACTGGCCAGTACACTGACTGTCCTGGCCTTCGCATGCATTTTGAAAAGGTCAGTTATTTGAGACCCGCTGGGTTTGACCTAACCTAATATTTTCATAATAAGGTCCCTTTTCAGATCCATTTTACGAACGACTAGAGCACATCCTTTTCATCTCGGGAGCAAACGCATGTGATTGAAATATTCAGAAAGTCATTTTTGCTGGGGGCCACACGACCTCTGGCGAGTATCGCGTTCGATGGTTGGTTGGGTGTCAAGCTTTAATTTGCATCTAGGCTCAAGCCAAATACTATGCCCGTTCTGTGCATCAGGCCTGTCTAACACTTTCACTGACCCTATTGCAACGTTTCCCCCTCTTTTTCGCCAAGCTAATCAATTATTTGAGTCACACATCGTCATCAAACTCATGCCACCCAACTAGATATTGCAATCTTAGCCTCCAATCAACTTTAAAAAAAGTTTTTCTTTTTTTCAAAACTGCAGCTGGAGGTTATGAAAAAGAAGATGATGAATCGATCATTTGCAACTTGTGAAGTTTCTGTAGAAAGTCACAAACTACCTATAAAAACACTTCCATCTATGGAATGACTGACGGATGTCAAACTATGTTGTCATTGCGTACACCGAACAAAAACTGGATAAAATATACAAAGGTTTCATAGTATACAACAATTTATACTACTGTACAAAGCATCTGAGGAGTCAGACCTTTCAGATAGCATCCGCATTCTTTCAAAGGACTGAAAAGGCATGTCAGTCTATTGAACGATAGTGGACACTATCTGAAACGTCTGACTTTCCAGAGAATGTTTCCAGTTACTTCATGTTTTGTATTACGTTACGTTCTGCCTGGATGTATAACCTTCATCGACATATGTTGTAATTGACTTTTCGACAAAAAGCAAACTGCAAATCGCAATCTGCTCAAAAACTTTCCAACTCAATTACTGAGGATGTAGAACCAAAAGCCTGTGAGGCATCAAGGGTGTCGTTAGTAAAGTAGGCACGATTTATCAGCGAAATGATCTTCCTCAACAAAATGTACTTGACGCTGCCAAAAGCAATGATAAGAAAGTAGTTACAAAGCGAATTCTTAAAAGGCATTTGCTTTTAGCGATGTGCGTTGCTTTTATTATATTTGTACTTTAAGCAAACTATACCCCCCCCCACAAACGTTTCAAGGAAGAAATCATAATCTGTAAGAATCCTCGGCAATTGGACTTTGTTCTTTATTACTTTGTTCCAGGAGAGGGAAATACATGAAAAAGTTCTAAACTATAAGGGGCGGCTTTCAGTATGTTTAGGGTGGTGTTTGTATGCTAGAAATAGTCTATGTGTCGTATGTTTACGAACACTTATATTATACTGAACGCGTCCTTGCCCCATATAGCCGAATATGGCCTCCTGAACACTGCCAAACTCCCTCAAACATATCATGGTTAGTAGTAGGTCGGGGGCAAGGTCGGTCGTGGTTATATAAACTATAGTATCTCCACAACTCTTTTCGATTGTGACGTTTTTGATAACCCCCTGTAAAATATATGTATCATCCCAAAGGTGCTTCAAACTATGGCCTCTGAGGCCTACATGTAGGGATATAGTCACATCCTGGGAAACCAACTCAAACGAATACGAACCATATACCGTATTTTGTATCACGTATGTGTAAAGATATGTGCATAGATTTATTAGGACTAAAATGCTTTTAACTGCATCGTTGCGTTCCATTTTGTCTGGCCCTTTTCTCATGACCTCAATGAAAAGCGGCCTGAATCCCGATTTCAGTTTCTTATGAATAAACATACCCCTAAACAACAAAAAATCATATAACATATCACATCATCACTATGCTGGTAAGACCCTCTCCCAAATAGCACCGTGGAGAGTGTATATCTTCTTGTGCTACAGCTCTGCCACGTTGATATGTCAAAGGGTAATGGGTCCCATGGAATACCTTCATCCCCCTAACACCAGTGATAAACACTAACGAGAGCTTGAAAGAGTTTTCGTAGCCTCTTAAAATGGCGAAGGTCACTTGAATGTCATCCCAAGTGTGCTCACAGTGTCCTGTCCTTGGATCCAGTTCTTTTGATCCTGCAATAGGATATCGCCATGTTTTTTTCTAAAAGATGTCCAGAAAATGTTGATTAAAGATTAAAGCTCAAGCATTGTACCTGATTCAGAAACTGTTGACACCACGTGCAAAAAGTTATTTTGAGAAGCAAAGGCCATTAATAGTTTGAAATTGTATGTAGTCACGATGATTATATATTGTATGTGTGAAGTTATTTTTTGTTGTGAATTGATAATTGTGGTGTTAACATAAGCTCGAACTTGAGTGCGCCACCACTGTTTCTTACTTTTGAAGTTAACTTGTTCTTGTGACATCTCCAAAACAAATATACACACTTAACTTATACCAACAAGGATGTCTAATTTCTAGCTGTTATTATGAGTTTTATTGGGTAATAACGGTCTTATTGCATTTTCATTTACGTAGTGTTCAATGTGTGCAGTTGGTAAGTAAAAAGAAAAATGACATGACTACGATGATCTTCAAAATTTATTCCTCAAACATACATTTACAAATAGAGTTGTCAGATTCCTTGAGCGTATAGCCAGTGTTTGTAGAGTATATTCAAATTTAACGTTTATATTTAGCAAACATCACAAACAAAAGCACTACCTCATTTGAAACTACAGACCGAAACGTGGAGAGAACCGTCTATTGCGCATGCTCAAGCACCATATCATTGGCCCTCTTTACAGCATATAAACCCCCGTGTCATATAGATACAGACAAACGCGATTAAAAGCCTGCTGTCTCTTGTTTCTTCCCTTTATGATAGATACAAGAAAAAGACGTTTACACGCCGACGGTTATGGTTCCAGTGATTTAAAGATATATGGCGGACTGCATGGCCTTTGAGCCTGGAGAGCATCTCCTAGGTTTGAAATGCAATCAGGCTTCAATGCTATGCAGCCCGTCTGAGTCGTATCTTCTAACCTCATTGTCGGAACCTTCAAGGGAGCTGTCAATTTGGTCCGACGGGGGAAAAGAGCCGCTGACACTCGAGCCCAGAAAGCTATCAGGCTCCTGCCTCTCGCCTTCGGGCCGTAAATAGTAGCGCTCCACGTTAGTGTCGCTGCCGCCGTACACGCTCTCGGGATAACCGTCGAAGCAGCGGAAAGAGCCGGAGTTGTCCGAATGGCAGCGAAGGGAGTCAGAACGCGACGAATGGCACCGAGCGGAGGACGATCTCCTCGAACTGTGTCGAGTGCGCGAGTCGCGATTGTCTATCGTGTTCTGATCGCAGTTGTTCTGAGACGCACTCCGGGGCTGTTCAGCTGGGTGTGTGGTAGTGTATTGTCCTTGATTTGCTTCGCTACACTCGTTACAATGACACACTTCCGGTTGGCAGTTATCTGCTTCCGGGTTAGACGAGTTGCTCACTGGTTCCGATGAGCGTCGGGTCAACTTCCGCCCTTTGTTTGAGGAGCTGCTTTTCCTTCTGGACGGCTTTTGGTAGTTGCGAAACTCGTATTGTTCGTGGGAAGTATTAGAGTCTTCCTCCATGCCGTATCCTGACGAGTCGGGGTAGCCTGACGAGTCCTGGTCTCCGCCGTAGCCGGAGTTGCACCTCTTGGTGGAACTGTGCACAGCACAGCTCGCTCGGTGTTGTCCATTCGCCTATAGGGAATAAAACAAAGGAATAAATGTATCTCTTCGCTATTATTTATTAATTTATCTATTCATCGAATGGTAACATGTCGGTTTTCAATGTGCTCTGCATACATAAACAGAACATGCTTAAGTAGAAAAATAGAAAACAAAGTGTGTTGTCCTTGGATCCAGCTCATTTCATGCCGCAATAGGATATTGCAATAATATACTCTTCTGATGTTGTGTTGTGAAATCAGACAGATTTCCTCATCCATGATATATTCGTTTTACCGCCCTGAAATTGCATAGTTTGTGATACCGTTACAAGCTGAGAAAAATTAAACTACGTCTAGAATGTATTTCTTTTAGTTTTCTTATTGGATTCCAGCCGTAAGTTGATTCATTGTTTGTTTGTTTGATTATTAGACCGATCTCCATTAGTTTGTACAGACATAAGTTGCCATACATACTATTCTTCCTGGAGTCGTTATGCACATTTAACTACATACTACTATCATAACAACATGGTAACGCTTATAACTACAACTACATAAACACACACAACATGCAAATTCATCGTTCAACAACTTTCATCAATTACAAGTCTTTTTTGTCATCATTCAACTTTATACCTCATCAGGAATCCACATAAAGAAACTACATTGCCTTGACTTCACCAGAAAATGCCTTGACCTTTTGTGGAAAAAATAGCCAAAAGACCCCTCTATCCATCTACGGAACAAGTTTTCACGTTATCCTGTGGGTACATCAGTCGAGGATATGTTACGGGCTAGTGTAGTAATTTGGACTCCGTCCTTCGGCAATCTGGTGAGCGAAAACCTGCTTATTCCACTGATCCATGGACGCGCGAACGGCGCTGGAAGAACAGGCATAGTAATCACATACCGAGATGGGTTTTTTCTTTACACTAAATGAATCCATAAAGAAGGTATCATATGGGCAGGTAGGCTTCATAGCCGTTACGCCGCCAGTTATGTGACTTACTCTAATCCTTTCACGACCCTATTTGTGGGATCCAGTGTCCAATCGCGCGTTATTTTTAGCAGAGAAAAGCAATCTATAGGTACATCATCACATATGGAAACATAAAATCATTTACTAAATGTGCCCAGAGCTTTCCAAGTTGCTAAAGTTTTGTACACTATCTTGTTAGTACACTACATTGTTCTTTGTCTTGGATCTGTTTCTTTTGTAAGCTTAAGCTGACAGTGAGATATCTTTATGCTTTAAAATGCCTTTAATGTCTAGACCGTCTGTCTGTTTGTTCTTCATCAAGGTAATCATCACTTCTTCACTCTGCATGCGCTGAACCTAAGAATTACTGCTGGCAATGCGATGCTCAACGTAAAAGCAACCGTGACGTACATAGATTGTTACAACAATATGTTGTTGTCACAACTGTTGTAACAGTATCTAATATGCTATGTGTGTAACAATTGCTTGACGTTCATTTTTTCAGTCCATACCATATATATATATATAGATAAGATATTGCTTTTACTTAGGTTTCTTCTCCTTTTCCTGCCATTTCTTTAAATGGAATCAACCTCTTCATTTTTTGGCCAAATGACTTGAAATTTGGTATGGAGGTAGAGTGGGCTAATACCCTGGAAGGCACTCATTTGCATTGGAGTACGATTGATTCGACTTACTTTGTAAAGAAATGGCCAGAATGGATCACTAGTTACAGAACGCTTATGGTGCCCCCGCCTCTGTTAAAGGTTGATTCCAATTGCATGGCCCTAAGGTCTATGTGTCTAAATTTACTTTTTGCACATTCCTAATGTTACATTATGCAGATTTAAGTTTGTTTTGACGTTCGTACCTTGGAGGAGAGAAGTTGCACGTCTGCCGCCGGCAGTGTCGACGCCGAGGAGGCCCCCAGCGTCACATCGGGCTCCCTGCTCCTAATTGGGGAGAGCTCCGATAGATCCCCTGGAAACAAGAACACCAGATCTCAATTTACCGGTTGCCTTTTGAAGTTTTCTCCCATCAAGTACAACCGAACCACACTAGGAAAGCCCCCGTCTCCGCCATCAATCTAAAAGTGTACACATTTGCATAACAAGAAAAGGGTCTAAAGTTTTCAGCTTTAGAGTTGAGATAGGGCGATCCAATTTAATTTTCCTATACATGAATAGGCGACGTGCAAATAGCCTGCGATGAAGGAGGGAGCATTCAAAGCTCCCGGCAGAAAAAGCCATTACGTCCATTAATTAGGTTGGTTGGCTCGGCCATATGCTGGCGCTAGCCGCGGATCGAAGGGAAAATCCCGGGTAAAGACGGACATTAGGTGAGGTCTATTGCACTGGAAATGGGGGCCTACATGCACACGCGTTCATCATAGTGATGAATCAACCAGAGTATCCATCAGGTAGTCAAGACCAAAGCTTCCCTCGACAGTTCGTCTCTCTCGCACCATCAATTCTCATGATCTCCAGAAACCCTCCCATCTTTTGCAGATGGTCGTTTTCCTCTTCTTATAGATACAAATGCACAAAGGCCGAACTTGTGAGATAAAAAAAAAGTTTTGGCGAACCAATACGTTTTTGCCACCTCATCTCGTCTTGGTGATAGATTGAGTGTAGTGCAGTTTGTAACGAGCTGTAAATTTCCGCTAGGTCATCAGATCTAGGAGGACAGAAGGGACTTAAGTTCGCGGTCTTTTGATGTGCAGGGCGACTATAATGAACATCTGTCTGTGTGTGGCTCTCTCATAATTGAGTTTTAAGGCCGCAAGGGAAGTAGGGAACGGTTTGAGTAGCAGCTCTGCTTTTTCGGTTTTGACCTAGAATCGCGAGTTGAGAAGTTATGTTTGGGATAGAAATATTGTTTTCGGTGGCGCTGGTTCAAGAGGTATGTATGTTTTGGTTCCAGACATTACATTAGGCCACATGGCAGGTGAACGTCTGGAATGGAAATGTTATTTTCGATGACGCAGGTTTAAGAAGTGTGTATTTGGCCACATGGAAGTTGAATGATACACTCAAGGTCAAAAGCAGGGAGTGAGTGTGCGTAAGAATTCAGTAATGTAATACCCGATGACATTACACCATACATTCCCTTCAAAAGTTACAATGCATTCATGGAGACTCAAAACATTTCCCAAAAGTAAAATATCTCTGTTTTTTTCTTCCCTATCACTCTGTGTCTAGGTCTTGTCCTTGACACCGACCATTAAACAGAAAATACATAAATGTAAACAGAGTTTTCTCCTAATACCGACGTCCTTGTTAGGGTGCCATCGTTCAGTGATAGCACCACTAGGGTGTTACCCTTACATGTTAGAAGAAAGACCTCTTGTAGCAGCAATATATCTTAAAAGTTCTTAGATTCTCCACGGGGTGACCTCCTACATTAACATGGCAGCAGCGTGGAAATCCATCTGGACCCTAACGACAGAAGACTAAAGTCCGAGGCAGAAAAGTGGTTTTGTTACAGTTGCCCATTAACAATAAAACACATCTCTCCGCTCCAAAGGCACTAAAGCACAGATAATACCCCGTAACTTCGCATGAGGATTGAAATCCTGTATAAAACGATGCCAGAGAAAATTGATCACTAAGACCTTGAAGTTGTATGGCCGCAGGCGAATACGTAAAAATCGACCTTACAGACAGGGGCCACTGCGACTTGTGACGGATTATCGGAGGCGTGGGCCGCCATGCGAGTCCGACAGTTCTCCGTGAATTGAAGCTACGAGGGACAGAAGAATTGATGACCACCATAACGTCCTCCAAAAGGCTTAATGCTACTTAGTAACCGGCCATGGATCAATGATGCCCCAGTGGAGCGAAACGGTCGACCGTACCAAACACAGACGGCAACGATGGAACTCTCCAAACAACATTCCAGCTCCGCACCTGGAGGTTTTGTCCTTGGACTCGGCAGCGCTATTGATAAACTTTCTGTAAGGACACTCCAGAACTTTTTTTCAACATGTCATCACAAGACGTGGTGACAGCTTGTTTTTCAACTTATGTTTATGCTGCCACCAACACAGAGGACAATACAGTACTCATTTTCACCTGAGTGAAGATAAGTGAGGAAAGTCATGTAAAGTACCTTTCCCAACGGCACAAGATCGGTGGCATGGCAGGGTTCGAACCCAGGACCTCTTGGTTCCAAGTAATACACTCTACCATTACGGCACACGACCCCACTCCAGAACTTTCCGTGGCATCGATTTTGTTTTCCACTTTTGCAGAGAGGTCTTCAACTGCACACCTGAGAAAGTGATTCCGCCGAAGGGTAGGAGTACAAATGCATCCCACTGGTGCCTTGGTTCATCCACAATCCTAGCAACTATAATTGGGTAGTTCACCAGAGGAGCTGCCGTAGCCCTTCAGCAAAACCGTCGCCTTTTGTGTAGGTAAACCTTCTCTGATTGTAGCGTTTAAAAGCAAAACTCACGTGGGGTTATATCAATGCAAGTCTTAGCATACAACAGAGGATATCCTAGTTCTTTCTCCTATCAATCAATCAATAGGGTCAATCAGACGCCATACAATCACGCAAAACGCTGGTTACATTTACATTTATAATTACATTTACTTGCACAACCGTATTCCCCTGGCAATTTACTGATAGAAGGGATAGAAAATATTGCTGGTTTGCCTTGACAAGTTACATTGGAATGGTGATTTGAAACACCAGGGTATATTGTTGAAGTTGTACAATGCCACACAGCAAGTTTTACCCTCAAACTAACTTCGTTGACTCAGCAGGAATCCTCTGCCGTGTCAAAACATGTTAGACGTCTGGGGGGCAAAAGCCCCGGGTAAGTCTGAAGGGGGCTGGTGTGAAATTATCGCTAGTGACAACTGCACAAAAGATATACTACTCCACAAGGCCGCTGAGTATGTAGGCAATCGTGCCCAAGCCACGAGTGGCAAAGATTTGGAGCCGCGCCATTAATGGCATCTCTTACGAGACTGCATTAGCACAAAGAGGCTGTCTGTTCCCTCAGTTGGGTGTACTTTGCGCAGTAATTCCAAGTCTTTCAGAGAACTGACACCCCAGACGCGATACACGGTACAAGTATGTATTACCTTACGGGGAGTTTGGAGGTCGCAGAAGTATTTCAGATAACATGGAAACGGATTAATGAAAAACAGCGGCCTTCAAACGTACTTGACATGATGCGTTATGGAGGATATAGCTCGCGTGTTGCATTCTTGCCCAAATATTTTTTATGATAAGTCCTTGACACTTATCCACTGTTGAGAATGCACCACTTTCTTAGCTAATGTATAGGTTTGCTAGATTACGATCACGAAGACGAGAAAGGTGATCACTATTATCTTAAAACGTAAAGGCATGAAGCTTTGGGTATTGCAAATGTTTGATGTTATCAATACCACGATGTCACGATCGTTGATGTCGATAACTTATCGTATGTTTATCGCATGTGCCTTCAGTCTCTGTCACACATTCATGAAGCTGGCCTCCCAAACACTAGCCAAACGCCTACCAACCATGGTAAGGAGTATGTCGGGGCAAAGTTGACAGGGTCAGCTGGTGTTCGGCAAGGTCGGCTTCTATTCGGCTGCGCCAGCTAGATCTTTCAAAATGATCAAAACACTTTCACACTTTAGGAAAGCCACGTGATAAGTATCACTGAGGAGGACCAGAGTGACTGGTCGAAAGCTCTAGGTGAGAATATTTAGGTTTTGTGTAGGAAGGTTTATGTTCAAACAACGTTACATAAAGTAACTACAACTAAGCAAAGTTGACGAAAGCTCCTTGAACTAAGTCAGTGAATTGTATAACATAACAGCACCACACTGGCATTGCGTACCTACGGAACTTTCCGGGACCACTTCGACGTAGTTGGACGGGAAGAGCCCGACTTTCCCCCGCAGGTAGCCGTACCACCAGCCGGGGTCCTCCCTACTCACGATCTCCATGACGTCACCAACCTGCAGCTGCAGTTCACCCTCCTCACAGGGGTCGTAGTCGTACAGCGCACGCGCGTAGCACTTCTTACCTGAATAGGGGGAAAACAGACCGTGATTCGGGTACAGATTCAAATTGTCATTTTCTTGCCCCTTTCCTCCGCTGCACTAAAATGTACATATTCTACCACTGGGTCGTCGATATACATGTTTACAATCGACAATTGAAAGTGTGGAAACGTCCATGGAAATGACGAAGAAACTACATCATCAAAAGGGCGTAGCTCAACCAATTCGCGATTTTGTAGAGCCCCAATATCCTCTTCTAGCGTCCTTCAGGAAGATGTGTGTGTAACCTAACCTAGCCTATTAGATGTCAAAGAATCTCAGGATGATCTGAGAGCGACAACAATTGTCATGTCTTCAAATATCTAGTTAATTTCTCTATCTAGAAGATAAACTGGTCTTTGTTTGTCGCCTTTCTAAAGCTATGTCTTGACTTAATATAACGATATAACGATGCTAAAAAAACAGTTGAGTTAAGCAACTGGATATGATTTTGAAAATCATATCCAGTTGCTTTAGTAACTGTTTTTTTCGGCGTATCTTATTACGTGGATGTCTAACCTTCACCGACGATATGACGATGCTTTCGTCGCGTAGCAAGAAGTAACTTGCATTTGCATCGAGGCTCAGGCGTCAACCTGTCTAGCACTCCTGTTTTTACCTGGCCTTGCTGTAACTTTCCCCCATAGCGCTAGCATTAGTCCAATTCGAGTCACCAAGGTGACCAATTACTTGAGTCACACATCGTCATCACACTCACGCCTCCTAACCAGCTATTCCTATCTTGGCTCCTGCTCAGCTTTTTTAAAAGCATGTCTTGTTTGGCTTTAGACGCTTCTCTGATATTCTGACACCTTGAAAGCTCGGGTAGTTTCCACTCCAACTTCATTGAAAGCCTCAAGAAGAGAACATTGTGACGAGTCGCTGGTCGGCTGCCTAACGTTTTTAGTTTTTTTTATTCCAACATGTTATGCCACCACCAACGCAGAGGACAATATCAATACTAGTATTCACCTTAGGGAAGTGAGTACATTTGTGGAAAGTGCACGCCAACATTTAAGGACATTTTCACCTGAGTGAGGTGAGGACAATCGAGTAAAGTGCCTTAAATTCTACAAGGGCACAAGATCAGGGGGCATGGCAGTATTCGAACCGGGACCTCTTGGCTATGAGTCGAGCAGTCTCTGCCGTTACGCCATACGGCCCCACTATGCCCGACGCCATGTTGATGACGTAGGTTATACTCCGTGAAGTTGTCAGCCAGGCGCCGACTCTTGGACACGACATCTGTCACCCAGTCAGCGCAACACTGCTACAAAATATCGGGACCCGGCGGCAGTCTCCAAGATTTCCTTCAAGATTACTACCCAGTATCGGTTTCATACTTAAGTTATCAATCTTTAACAGATCGAGTTAAGAGTAAATCTTTACCCCCCTTAAGGGACGATGCGCCGTCCCACCCTGTGAATCTCGTACCCAATGATGCATTCCTCTAAGGTTGTCTTGATCCCAGGATAGGGAATGGGTCTAAATTTTCATTGACGTAATCAATGGCCGGAGGTACGGATTCCATGAACCTTCAGAGGACCCAGGCCAAAAATGTAACATTTGTCAAGCACGCTGTACCGACTCGTCCAATCACTTTTCAACATATAGCCAGTCATCAGAGAGATGCTGATGGATAATTTGGCATGGTAGTCCCATAAGTATCGATTTTTCCGATGCAGATCCCAATGGGAAAGGAACGTAACAGATATTTCTCTGTCCGGCTTGGCACAGAGCACAAACATATCACAGCTGCTTACAACTCTGGGTGGCTGTCCACAATGAGGGGACTTTTCTATTCACTATTCAAGCTCTTGAATTTACCCAACATTGAATCAAAGATAAGTACGAGGCAATGACTATTCATTTCCACCAGAGAAAAGGAAAGACGCTGAAAAGGTTTGGCAAGACTTCATAAAAGTTAAAATTTACTTCAACATTCTAATGGAATGGCAACATATAGGCAGGAACGGTTATTTTGTGTGGGTAAGTGATAAGTGTAGGCGTGGATTTGGCAAAGTGTAAATACTAAAATCCACTATTGCCAAACTTAGGTAATCCACTTTATCCCAGTTTTACAGATTCTGCAGTCAGAATTGCTCGTATTCATATCTAGCCATCTACGAATTCAACTAGAATTCCTCGTTATAATACGTATTGATGTATTTATAGATGATAAAGATCTGTTTCCTTCAGTTTGCGTGAGATTGCATTCAGCACAAATCATAAGTAGAACCAATTCAAGTTGTCGTCTTGGTTTTATTAAAGGTCTTACATCTTTGCATCTTTCCTCCAAGCCTGTAGTGAGATAATTGAAAAGGGATTGGTGCTGTCAGTGGACTGTGTGCACTAAATTAGCTTTTTCCGACAGCGTGTCACATCTAGAACTGTGTTTCTATTAGTGGGTTATCCCCTGCTTCCACTCATGCTCTTGCGGGTGGAAGTGATAGAAAAGATTTATTCCCTGTGATTGCGGGATAGTGTTGTAAGGCTTGGAGGCATGTGTGTTGTCAAGATAGGAACTTCGCTGAACAAATTTCTTCATTTTCGGTGAGCAGACATCAAGATGCGGCTTATTTCTTTTAACGAGATGACTTTTGATTGTGATAACCAAGGATAATAAGAAAAACAACTTCCAATCAACATAGATTCCTCAAATCATGCTTGGCTGGATACGGAAAAGAGAAGCAAGTATTTTTTGTCGAAGTCCTTAATTGGTCCCCTTGGGAAGGGATGTAGACGTTATACGACAATGGCGCCAAGGCTTACAAGCCAACTGGGAAGTGTCTACAATGGACTAGTCTTTAATCCCATCTAAACTGCATTAGAGGGGTATCAGAAATGATCAATAGGCAGGGACAAGGCGAGGCTGGTACGACTGCCTCGCGCCTGCGGGGTGGACTAGACCCCTGCGTCCATCGATCGTTTTACGGGAAGATAAATTCCCTATAATGAACCCTCTCCGACGAGGACGGAATACCAAACACGCCGAAATCACAACTTTAGATGCAGACACCCGCAGGGGTGTGTCCTGACCTTTTCGAAAATGCTTCTCTACAAATTTCCAAGGGTTAGTCTGCACGCTCTCTCCGAATGTTGCTCCCGTAATTTCTCTATTGTGAATTCTACTAAGGGGGAGCAGCGGTGCACCGCTAGGTCATGTGAACTTTCAGATACAGACTACTGGGAAATCTGTGAGGGTGGTATTTGTGACTTGGCATTGATATCACAAATTGTCCCAGTATGTAGGTTGAAAACGTTTTGTTTCTCATTTCTCGGGGAAAGGTATTGGGGCGAAATGTGAACGTGGCAGTTAGAGGAATTACTGTAATACCTTGTAGAATTATTTTGTAATCGTGGCAAATATAGACATCAATCAATCATGAGATTCGTGTCACATAAAACGACAACGTACTCAAAAGTTCACTGTAGTGAATGGCGTGGAAGGATTTACTAACATACCATCTTGTCTGTCCTTGCAGACGAGAATCTCCACACATTTGGCGGGAAACAAGCCAACTTTTCCCTGGACGGATCCAAACCACCAGCCGCCATTTTGGTCGCTCAGCACCTCGATGACGTCATTGGTTTGCAGTGGCAGCTCGTTATCGTCCTGTGGGCTGTAGTCGCACAGCGCCCTGGCAAAAACTTTCCCTGGAAAATAAAATGTACAGGATATCAATCAGCTAACCCTAAAAGCTTTTAAGCTGGAAGTGAAGTTAACATAACATTTGTCCACAGCCTAACCTTTTCTGAACGTATACACAGAATCGGTCAGACCACAGCCCAACTTTTCCTGGAAGTTAGCACTTCATCAATCAGTCCCCAGAACACCTTTTACTGGAAGTTCAGGCAACACCAATCAATTCCCAGACTTCCTGGAAGTGCACACAATGTCAATCAGTTCACAGCCCTACTTTCCTTGGAAGTGCAAACACATTCCGTCCATAGATCAACTTTCCATGGAAGTACACTCAACGTCAATCAGTCCACAGGCTAACTTTTACTGGAAGTTCAGACGATATCGATCAGTCCATAGCCCAACTTTTCCTGGAAGTGCAAACAGCATAAATCCATCCATAGATCAACATTTCCTAGAAGTACACACAGCATCAATCAATCCCTACAACAACTTTTCCACATCGATCTGCGCACAGCCAAACTTTTCCTAGAGGTGCACACATCATCAATCAGTCCATAGATCAACAATGCGGAAGATATTTGCTGATAAAGTCATGCTTTCCGCGGATCCGGAAAGGATGACACATCACGCTATATCGGTTAACGACCGTTTATTGAGTTTTTTTATTGAGTTTGAGTTTTCTAGATACTTGAAGAGTAATATGTGTTGACGTTGGAAAAACTATGCAAGAAACCGTGATTTATAATGGCCTTTGTTGATCCAGTAACGTTAAATTTTTATAGCCAATCTAAAACGTATAGAAGCTTATTAGGTTTTTAAAGCTTGGATAGGGATTTCTACGGTGAATTTTGTTGTTATTGGCTGTAAAGTCATAGCCCACTGACAATGGCTCACTGATTTCTAGATATGAAGTTATCAGTCAGATCCGGCGGACTGTTTACCACTGAAGACTAAAGCGTGTATCCTTCCACCCCCTCATCCGAGAGGTTTGAGTTATTCTTGACATTTATTGCTTTTGCCAACCATAACCCCAACCAACGCAGAAATTGACGATAACCTAAAGCAGGTTACAAGCGGAGATGTAGAAATTTATGATCCCATTTGGCAAATACGTCTGGGAAAATCCGCATCATCTATCTTGACAGCCGACCTGATGGTCTTGATTCCGCCGAAGTCTAAAAGGAAGAGAAAAATTACCTTATCTTGAGTGGTATTCCCGAATTGCGAGATTCTAATCCCGTTGCTTCGTTCACACGGTAGTACCGTAATCACCGTCATAAAACAGCCGAGACGGCCTTGTGTGATACACAGTAGGCGAACTTGAACTCAGTAGTGAATTATAACTACACACAACTTCTCCGAGAAGTAAGATTGCTTCGAGATCCATTTGAGGAGAAATTAAGGCTCGGTGTAGAACGTCTTCGGTGGATTAAGCTAGGTATTGGCCCCTTTGATGTAGTACGTCATTTGGGAAGCGTGTAAGACTTTCTTAATGTTGTTACACTTGCCGCATGAGTGATCAGGCTTACATACTGGGTGCGAGGAACTCACTGAGGAATAAACTTTAAAGTCGTAGCAATGCGTGACCAATCTCAGAGGGACAAACAGTCTGGACACCACAATTATGCCTCACCATCACTTGATCCTCAGGACAAAAGTATCGCAAGGCAGCCACCTCTTCTCCACTCGTAAACATTACGTAAAGAAATTTCTAAGAGTGTCCAAACGCAACCTTTACGCATGGAGAACTCACGATTAAACCTATTTACCATTACACAGTTCGCACCACAAAAGTCGTCTATTCACCAACTATCACCCGTAAATTTTACAAAAAAGAAACTTTAAAGATTGCTAAAAACGGAGCCTTTACGTATGGACATATAAAAGTGTTTAGATAGCAGTGACTGGTCAGACATTGTACATCTCTCATTGGTAGCAAGGCTCGGCATTCTGAATATACAGTGTTGGACATAAACATTTGGGCATAAAAATGTATGGGCTTTGTTGTAAACTTTGCACAATTGTACCTCTAAATCGCTCCACCAAAAGCTTTTACCGACAACTATTTTATACAAAACCTTTGTTGAGTATTCAGGGACCTGACGTCAAGTATATGTCATTTCCGATGTGAACATTGCTTCAAAACAGGTCTAGAGGGAACGGAATTAACTGATTTCTTCTTGGAGTTATTTCGTCTTGGAAAGGGGCAGAAAGGAAGTCATTTTAACGTCTAGATGGAAGCGTTACAGATATTTCTTTTTGTCCTGCTTGGCACAGAGCACAAACATATCAGACTATGGACGTCTTGACCGAGAGGGGGACGTTTCTATTCACCATTCAAGCTTCGATATACCCAAAATTGAATCGTAGATAATCAACGAGGGGTACCTATTTATTTACTACAGAGCAAAGGAAATACTATGTTGAAATTGCATCGCAAGCCTTCATAACTTTTCAACTTACTCTGCACAGACAGACAGACATACATACACATAGGGCCACGGGCAACCCACCCAAATCTCCCTTCACATTTTATTATGAGCCATTATATCGAGTATTCAGATATCAATTTTTCAACTATAACTCAATCAATTCTCTAATGGAAAAGCTGTTGGATTTTAACTTTAAAAAAGTATGAATTTTGAAAGTGGTAAGCAGTTACCAGTGAGTCTCTGCATATCTAGAGAATGTTACATTAAAATTCACCTTTACGACTTCACATCGCAAAAACAGAGTACCCGGGTAGGGGAAAGGTGCCTCGAGGACAACAATAGATTGTAAAGTAAGAGCCTAAATTTTTATAGGCTTCCCCCTCGGCGAAAGTAGCAATATTTCTTCACAAAGCAGACGGGGTCCCCCAAGAAATACAATGCCCGTGCATCAGTCGTTTGTTCATATTAATGTTTTTGGCCTCGAGGCAGGAATATTTCTATGCCTGTCTATATGGATTTCTCTTATCGAGGGTAATGTATGATTTTTGCTAGCCAGCTTACATAAAACAATTAATATTTAAACAGATTACATTGTAAAAAAAGTTCTGTCTGTATTCGACTCTCCTAGGCTAGCCTTTAGCGTAAGAACACCTATCATAACATATATCTGTATCATTTGAACAACTCTCCTCGAATTTGACGCTTGAGCGCACACTGAGACTTGTTTGTCAGTTTGGGCGCCGCCAGGAATTTGTGATGTATATCCAAACGAAGTTAACGGGCGCAGCAAGCGCGGAAAACTAGCCACCTTTCTATATTGCGATGCCAAAATGCGTTACACGCTGCGGCATTGCTTCCTCTATTCATCAGACACCAATCACATTTCCGCAATGGAAGACATCAATATACATTGGATTCTTTTCAGCCAAGTCTGGCTGCCGTACGAAATGTATCCCTCTCCCTGTCTTTGATAGTTCTCGAATGACCAAATGTTTCATATCTTTGATTTACGGCTTCAGCCGATGAGGAGATGCCCGTTACGTCCGACGAAGATTGCTCGGCGTGGGCCATAAAATACATTGAAAGTGTTGTACCTCCTGGCGGGCAATTGGCAGTCTATAGGAGGTCAATACTTGGTTCCGTGGCCCGTTTCGAGCAGACACACCCGTGAGAAAACTCGAAGAAGTGAATTACTAGTAACGCAGCAGGAGTCTAACGCATTGTGACAGGTGAGAATCAATTTCCTACCCACTGGATACTACTCCGTAGACTACCTCAGGGCCAGCCGGGCGCCTCAGTCGATATCTAATGCCTACCGAGGATAGGCAGACGCCCACCGGTAACGTGCAGTGACGGGAACATAAGCTCTAGGAAAGGAATAACCCCAAGTCTGAGACAGATCCAGATATAACGTAGACAGTCCTGCACAGTCCGGTCTCATCGCGACTAGACGATCTCCTTTCTCCAGTCAGATATTGCAGACTGTACATTTTCTCGCGTCTCACCTTACAACTATTTCTTTGAAGTTGTTGACACTGGGCTGTAAGATTAAGAACGGGTGAGGAGGATGGATTGCTCGCCTATATACAGGATAGACGTGAAGTTGTCTCTGGAGTGTTATCTTAGTACAGAAGGAGACTCTTCGAGGCCCAAAACATTGCAGTATTAAAAACTCTTGTCCAGATGCACATAATCATCTTCATATCTCCAATGTTCTGCCCAACTTATGTTCAGAAGGTTAAACTTTTTTCTCTGAAAAATAACTCTCATAGTAACTTGAAAACAACTGTATTTGTCTTATCCGCCTTGCGCCCTCCTGTCTGCCTTGATCTTTTCCGAGCAATTTTTCATCTCCTGATGTTTTCAGGACTTCTAAGTAACATGGTAGACTAGTATAACAGAAGCAGTAACAACTATCCCAAGAGGGTCTGGAATCCGGGCCCCAGCGCACGAAGCACATGATACTAGTACACAAATAGCCAGAAGGACAAGAGTTAACTTGTTCAGAGTTTCGTCAATAAGTAGCTGCTACGAAAGTTGAGAAAAAGTGTAAGCCGTGATAACAACTTTAAAAGTGTGTTTCACCTATTTGCAAGAGTAACTAGCTGGCCAGTGTTGACTACTTGCTAGTACAACTCTCTTAATTCAGTAAGTGTAACGGCAGGAGAGTAGCTTGTTTGAACCTACAGGAGAAGAAATATATGAGAAATATGAGCCCCAGGGACTTATTTGACATGTTTCTGGTCTATCCCAGTGCATCTGATAACTTTGTACGTTGTGTTTATTTTAGAATATTGCCGTCAGCAACCACGCCGCATGCACTTCATCATGCAGGGAGAGAAATACTGCCAGGATTAGCAGTCTTTGTGAAGATTATATCGCCTTCTTATCAAAGGGATGTGGAGAAGTTGAATGATGCACAGGTTTTGCGTTCTGTTGCTGCGACTCTCTATTGTAGTACTGTCTGCGTTCCTTGCTTGAGGCCGCGATTTTTTTCTGTCAGCAAAACGGCTCAAGAATCCTCAACAAAAGCCATTTACATCAGTACAGTTCAGACACAACAGGGTACCCAAGTATCG